TTTCTTGGAACAACTTCCTTTCAAAACCAGCATCTCTACTGGACGAAGTAGATATAAAGATATACTTCAAATAGCAAACATCTGTTTTTGAAAAATAACTTTAAAATACCTCCACCACATTCTCAGAGATAGTATAGAATTCCAATTTTAAAAAGCTGTCTTCCTCCATTCTCTCCACACCCTACCTTCATTGGGATCAGCCCCTGGAGAAAGGGAGCTTGAGAGAGACAAAAAGAGGCACAGTCAACATGGTTTAATACTTTTCCAGTGTCATGCCAGCAGGCTAATATTTAATTCTAGATTACACTCAACTCCTAGCACCATTTTGGAATATAATTTTAGTGGTTAATATATGAGGAAATTAGGAATCTTTATTTCTTGTTTCTTTTTATTAAAAAGAGAGAGAGAGATCATTTTAGAAGTACCCTGGCAATGTAACTGTGTCCCATGATGTCTGCCTCTCTCTCTCTCTCTAGCACTGTTATATGCTTTCTGCAAATTAAGGTATTTTAATGGAAAAACAAACAGGAGTTAATTAGAAAAATCTTCATCTTAATACTCCCCTTCTTGAAATTTCATATGCCTTTCATTCAGTCATTCATTCCTTTCTCTTTACACGAGTAGCCCTGTGCACCAATCCATGTGTGAGTAGCTTGCTGCCCCTTGCCTCAGCTGGCCACCCCACCCACCAGCGCTGGTAGCTCTCCACCACTGGTAGCTTTCTGCCCGTGGATTGGTCCTGAAGTTACGGCATCCTGGCTAATTTGCATATTCCTCTATTATTATATTAGATTCCGTTATTTAATGAATTTATTGAGCATCTATTTGTAAGGCAGTGTTTTTAGTGATTGGACAAAAATCAGGAACAAAAGACAGGATCTTGCCAAAACCGGTTTGGCTCAGTGGTAGAGCGTCGGTCTGCGGACTGAAAGGTCCCAGGTTCGATTCCAGTCAGGGGCATGTACATTGGTTGCGGGCACATCCCCGGTAGGGGGTGTGCAAGAGGCAGCTGGCCGATGTTTCTCTCTCATTGATGTTTCTAGCTCTCTATCTTTCTCCCTTCCTCTCTGTAAAAAATCAATAAAATATATTAAAAAAAAAAAAAAAAGACAGGATCTCTTTCTTCCTGAACTTTAAAGGCTAGTCTATAAAATAGACATTCAATAAACTAATTTAAAAATAGCTATAGTAGAACTGTGAAACATAAAGAATGAACCCTAGTGTAAACTCTGGACTTTAGTTAATAACTAGAGGCCTGGTGCACAAAATTCATGTGGAGGTGGGATGGGGAGGTGCCCCTCAGCCCAGCCTGCACCCTCTCCAATCTGGGACCCCTCTGGGATCCCATCGGGCCTAGACAGGCAGTCGGACATTCCTCTCACAATCCAGAACTGCTGGCTCCCAACCATTCACCTGCCTGCCTGCCTGATTGCCCCTAACCACTTCTGCCTGCCAGCTTGATCACCCCCTAACCACTCCCCTGCCAGCCTGAGTGCTCTCCTCTGCAGGCCTAGTCCCCCCCAAATGCCCTCCCCTACAGACTTGGTCACCCCTAATTGTCCTCCCTTGCCAGCCTGGCCACTCCTAATTGCCCTCCCCTGCTTCCCTAATTGCCCACAACAGCCCTCCCCTGCAGGCCATCTTGTGATGGCCATCTGTGTCCACATGTGGGTAGCCATCTCTGACCACATGGGGCAGCCATCTTGTGTGTTGGAGTGATGGCCAGTCTGCATATTTCTTTTTTATTAGATAGGATAATGTATTAAATATGGTACATCAATTATAACAAATGCCCCCCAGGAATGCAAGATGTTAATAATAAAGAAAACTGCCCTACCGGGATTGGCTTAGCTCAGTGGATAGTGTCACCTGTGGACTGAAGGGTCCCAGGTTCAATTCCTGTCAAGGGCACATGCCAGGGTTGTGTGCTTGATCCCCAATAGGGGATGTGCAGGAGGCAACTGATCAATGATTCTCTCTCATCATTGATATTTCATCTCTCCCTCCCTCTCCTTTCCTCTCTGAACTCAGTAAGAATATGTTTTTTAAAAATAATAAAAAAGGAAACTGTTATGTTGGTATATAGGAACTCTGTGCCTTCTGTGTAAATTTTTCTAACTACTCTAAAAAATAAAGTCTTAATAAGAAATAAAATATTGTAAATAGCTATAGAAGATAAGCACTTTAGCTGGGACCGGTTTGGCTCAGTGGATAAAGCGTCGGCCTGCGGACTGAAAGGTCCCGGGTTCGATTCCGGACAAGGGCATGTACCTTGGTTGCGGGCACATCCCCAGTAAGGGGTGTGCAAGAGGCAGCTGATCGATGATTCTCTCTCGATGATGTTTCTAACTCTCTAAGAGGCAGCTGATCGATGATTCTCTCTCGACGATGTTTCTAACTCTCTATCCCTTTCTCTTCCTCTCTGTGAAAAATCAATAAAATATATTTTTTTAAAAAGATAAGCACTTTATAGGAAATAAACAGGATGCTATTGGGAAGAATAGTGGGGTGACATAATTTGGATTGGGAATGAGGAAGGGCCTTTCTGGAGAAGAGTTATTTAAGACCAGAACTAGGAGAACAAGTAGGGCCTGGCAGGCAGAGAAGGAAACCTTCCCAGTAGCGCACAGTGATCATTTGAACTACCTTTGTGGACCTCATTCACGCTTCTCCGTGGAGGATGCACTGTGGGAGTGGGTGGGATGGGGAGGCAAGAGCACAAAGGAAGCACATTAGGAGGCAATTAGAAGGGAACGACAGTAGGATGTTTCCTTGGCTCAGCTTATGCTGGAAACCTTCAGGTTCAGTTGCTGGATGCTAGGAAGAAAGGAGACCATCAGTGGCAGCAAGATGGGGTTCCTAAGGTCTTTCCAGTGGCTCAATGGAATTCATAGTGTGAGAAACGATTGTGTGTGTGTGTGTGTGTGTGTGTGCGCGCGCGCACACACTCTCGAGCGGGGGGGGGGGGGGGGGGGGGGGGGGGGGGGGGGACAGAGGAGAGAAAGAGACCAAGAGAGAGACAGAGATTGAGAGTACAACCAGATGAGAATTACTAGGGGGGAAAAGCTTTCAAGTATTAACTACCCAGGCGTAACAGCAGATTTTCGTAGAAGGCTGTATAAGATTTAGTTTGCAATAGTTATATTTATTTCTGCTACTGGATTGTTGGCAGTTATTTTGATTTTGTTTCTTCAAAGACTACTTGTTTTCATATTGTTGATAAATCAACAGTTAAGAAAGATCCATTAAGGTGGGGCACTGTTTTAGTCCATCAATAGTGAACTATTCTTAGGGATGGTGAGTTCCCAAGGAAAACAACTCCAGGGTCCATGTCAGCCTGTAATAGATTTCTATGGATTCTGGAGCTGTTATTGGTAGCATGGAAGCTTAAATAGTCAAACGTTTTATTTCCATGTAAAATTAAGTAGCTCTGTAATTACATAATCTGCTTCATCATTTGTCAGTATTACCTGCCACTGAAATGTGCGCTTGAGAGTTGCAAGACATTAACTATTTTTTATGCATTTCTTTTACAGAACATTTGAATGTGCTGTTTATACATTATTTAAAAGCACATTTGATATCTGAAAAAAATCTTTAGCAAATTAGCATGCATTTCATAGCACTTAGCTAATACGGATACAAAACGGTCACTATGTCTATATTATAAATCTTATAGTTTTTGTTTTCAGTATTCCTGGAAACACCAAGTCAAGAATCCCCCATTTGACCAGACCTATTGTTTATTTTAGGAAGTAGAAGTGCACCATCAATATAATTTTAGGTCGTTCAATTGTGACTATGGGATGAAGAGGCAACATAAAGTTTTCCACTGTGATGTCTCCATTAAGAAGCTCCTCTTTGTGTAAAAGAGTCCATGACAAAGTTTCTTCTATTTAAAGTAGTGAGTTTGATCTTGGCTTTGATCTGAAGCTTTTGATCTTGAAAGAAGGATGGAGTAGCAATAAAGAGAGGGCAAGGCAGATTTTCTTTAAAGAACTGCGATAAAGTCCCAGTGCTGGTCAGGCTCAGCGAAGGCGCGCCCCGGCCCGGTTCAGCCCATTTCTGATTGGGATTTGACAAGCCTTTCTGGGGTGGGCGGCGGGAAAAACTTGGGACATCACACATTTTTATAAACGAAATGAAAACCTTTCCTCAAACGATGAAGGCAGACAGTCCACCTCTCAAGCTCTCCCGAAATGCTCGGATTCATGGCAGTGAGCGTGGTGCGGGGAGTGTGCGCGGGCGGGCAGGGCTCCTCTCCTGCCCCGGGGAGGTCACCTGCCAACGCCCCGGGCCTGAGAGCCATAGGGAAACGCCTCCTTAATGGCGTGTACATGCGTTTCTGGAGAAAACTCCCTTAGGAAAGTTCCTTCCCGGCCCAGGCCGTCTGGGCACGCGGGTCTCTGGCCAGAGGAGCGCAGACTGGCCGCGGGTGCGGGCGCTCTGTGCGCGGGCGGCGCTTCCGCTCCGGGGCGGCCCAGACGTCCCCGCGGGTGACAGCGTCCAGGGGTGGCAGTGCCCGCGGGTGGCAGTGCCCGCGGGTGGCAACGCCCAGTGGGTAGCAGAGCCGCGGCGGCGGGCCGGGAGGGTGAGGCGTGCGCACCCGAGCGCTCTGCCCGGGGGAGGCGCGGCGCGGGCCTGGCCGGACCCGGGACGGACGGCGCTCGCGGAGAACAATAACATCGCGGGCGGCCGCGGGGCGGGGGCACCTGCGGTAGCGGGCGCGGCGCCTATACCTTTAAGGCAGGCCCCGCCCCGCCAGCGCCGCCCGCCGCCCGCCGCCCGCCGCCCGGCCCCGCGCCGCCGCGGCCACCCCGCGCCGGAGGTGTGCGGCCCGCGCCGTGCTCTCCGCGGGCGGGCGGCCGGGCGGCCGGGCGCCGACGCCCGCTCCCCGCTCCCCCGCGGCGGGCGAGGTCCGGCCAGCGCCGCGGCGGAGGGCGCGCGGGCGGGAGGAGGCCGGGCGGCTCCGGGTAAACTTGACTGTCCCTTCCCCGCAGCCTCTGCAGACGGAGCGCCAGGCCGGGGCGGAGAGCGGGCTCGCGCGGCAGGTGGGCGCCGAGGTGAGTGCGGGCGGCGCGGTCCCCGCACCCTCCCTCCGTGGCCGGCGGTCCCGCCGCATCCCCTCCGCGGAGCCCCGGGGGGAAGCGGGCCCCGTGTCGGGGGCGCAGGCGCGGGGGTGGCCCCGGGGCCCGAGCCGGGAGGGAGGGAGGAGGCGGCCGCGAAGGTCAGGGCCGCGCCGCCCCCGCCCCGAGGCCGCCGCGCGGGGCCGAGAGCCGCGCCGCCGGCGCCGGAGCCTTTCCCACGCGCGGGGCGGCGCCGGGCCGCGGCCGGTTCCAACGCTCCGCGGTGTTTGAACTTCAGGTCGCGAAATGGACTCGAGCGAATCGGAGACCCCGAAAACGGAAACGAAGAGGGAGCGGAGAAGTGTTTGCAAAGGTAAGGGTCCCCCGAAGAGCGCGCGGAGTGGGGTTAGTGGTAAACCTCCGACTGCCCTGAGTGAGGACTTGGCACACGGTCCAAATTTAATTCACGGACAGCTCAGTGAAAATATTGGCTGGCGATCCTAATGATTATCAGCATCCTGTGCTCTCCAGAGGTAAGAGTGACCGGGATGGAGTTTTGTTTCAGCATCAAGCAGAGCAATGGGACATAGTGGGACCCGGTACCACAGGGACCGGTGGTATTTTTGGTGGAATATTCCCAGAAAATCACCCCGGTGTCGGGTTTCTCTGTCTGGTTGTGACAGATACACTGGCACAGCTCCCTCCCTTTAGGTGGTGGAGTCATCTCAGGTATGGAAGGAGAAGCTGAAAAAAAAAAAAGTGCATTACTTTTGTAAAGCAAACAAGACATTTGTTTTTCTTAATTTAGAATTTCAGTGTTACTTTGCAGAAGTTTGACTCCCCGTTATCTCCTAAAGTTGTATTAAGTAAAAGCGTGACTTGTCATTGTAATAAATATTGTGAAATAAGGTAAGTAGTCTGTTGTTTTCTAAGTGTCTTTTAATTGAAAACCCTTCAAAAATGAATAATGTCACAGCAGACAGGACTTCTGTCGCTTTTTAAAATTATTCGAGGTACTGTTTTTTGGTTCTTGATCACACCAGGGGATTAAAATAGCGGTGTGTTGTTTTTCTGCTGCTAGAATGTATGATGAATCACTCCTGATTCTGAAGCCAAATTCTTGCTGATAGCATTGCTGCCAACTTCTGAGATGTGTTGCCTTAGTATGGGCATTGCAGCGTCCGGCCGAGAATGTGCACAACAACGCACATCAGGATGAAGGTGATTCCGAAGGTCCAGAGTGCGTTTAAGGATAGCGAGGGCGCTCCTCGGAGAACTGGAAAAGGAGAAGAGTCATCTGTAGGTAGATGTTCAGCACGTGGAAAGGGATGCCCCAGCTCTTCCCTTTCTAAATAAGAAAGGGCCATCGATGTCCCTTCCTCGAAACAGTAGTAGCAGAAGTCGTCCTTTTGAACAGACTTGAGTTTTCTGATCATATCTCAGCATGTTGTGGTAGGTGGTGTTTGTTTAACTTCCAAGGTCTAGATGTTTTTAAAAATGTTTGTGAGTTGATGAAGGAGATCATAAAATGTCCAAAGGAGGAAAAAGAATTACGTACAGCCAAACAATATTTCCTAGTGATTATTTTTTTAATCCAAAAAACAAGATTGCCCAAACACATAATGTATCATGCATCAAGAAGGGGAACCCATTATCTGTCACTACAAAAACCTGACCTCGAGGTAACCATGTCTGTGACATCCGTGATCTGAGAATGAGCCAGGGCCGTGGTGGGGAGACAGGAATCTCCTTCCCAAGAAAATAGTTCTTCCCTGAGCATTCTCCGTGAGAGGAGACTGTGCCGGAGCTTATAGGGAGAATGCACACATCCCTCCTCTTAGGAAATGCAGGCAGCACTCTCACAGAGGATATGAAAATGAAGTAGGTTGGGGGCAACATGCCGAACTGCCTTTCAAGGACTAAAGCTTCAACTAGCGCTGGAGGTAGAAGTGGCAAAAGGGGGAACTTTCAAAGTTGTGTCAGAAAGTAATTTTTTAGGTGTCTCCAGTCTTCCCTCCTGACTCTGTACAGCAGCTGAGCCCCTCGCCCGCTGTCTGTCTCTGCCAGGCCCAGGAGAAGGCCTGCAGCTTGCTGAGGCCAGGCATGCAGTGTTTTCAAGGGCAAGGTGAAAGGCAGTGCCACCAGCACAACCCAGGGCACCAGACCAAGCTCCAAGAGGCACAGAAGTGTCCTGCCGAGGTGTCCCCCGATTGCCCCAGCGTCCATTCCAAAATACGGATGGAATTCTGTGTGCAATGAGCGTTCAAACCCCGGTCATGTGGTAATCTTTCGCTAGGGTTTGAACCTGTTGTTAGTGGGAATCTAGGTAAAATTACTGTTGCGTGTAGTAAGTTTTGTTTTTTTTTTAAATGTCTGCCATGCCACAAGTGAAGTACGTTAGTTTCTGGGTTGTTTTTTCTTTTTTTTTTCTTTTTTTCATGCATCCACTGCATTTTGCTACTACATGAAAACTGTGGCCTTTTCTGTGGTATTCACTGTACATTACTGTAAGGTAAGAGCCTGGGTTTGAGTGTTTCGGGGAGGCGTACATTTTAGATCTAGCTGTTTTCCTTACTTGCCTGCTTTGTTTCCTTGCCCTGTATCTACCTAGTGCCCCTCCCACGCCCATCCCGTCTCTGGCTGCGTCTTCAGGCCTCACACAGGGCTCAGCTCAGCTGAGTGAACTTGGTTAACTAGTCTGTGTTCAGCTCTGCTTTGTGGGAAGCAGTCTCTGTCCTACGAGAGGGAGGAGAGCAGCAGTGGGGCAAGGCCAGGGTCTGGAACTGGCAGGAGGCGGCCCATTCCCTGTGAGGCTTGTAATCCCACAGGAGACACTGGTATTCCCCCCTAAAGAAAGGTGCTAAGTGGAAGGCACAGCCTGAAGTCACTTGAAATACTGTACGAGCTGATTTTCTCAGTGAACTCTGAAGGGGAAGCAAAATAAACTTACCCTGTGCTCAGCTGTGGGTTAAAATAACGAATAATGAAATAAAGTAAATGGGGTGGACAGGAGGAAGCCCAGAGAAGCGACGTGAAATGCTCTCTGGATTTCTCTGGTCTGCTCGCTGTGGGAGCCATTTCCACACACACCCCCTCCCCCCCCCCCCACCCCGACGCTCCTGCCTCGATGCTGTCCCACAGACTTTCATCTTCCCGAAGATATACCACTCCTTTGCCCGTCTTCTGGCTTCTTTGATATTTGTTTCCATTTTACTTCATCACATTCTGGTGCTTCCCCCTGGGTATAACTGAATTCCTCTATACTGTGTTTTTTCTTCATTTTAAATGACAAAAGTCATCTGTTTTGCTTCTGCTTTGGGTGCGTTCTCCTTACATTCTGATATTATTCTTTTTCCATTATTTTGAGTTCCTTTTACTTAGTTTGAACAGTTTGTATAGCAGAAAGGCAAGGGAACATGAACAACCGCACAGAGAACAATTGGGCCGAGTGAATGGCTCAGCCTGTGCTGTGAGGGCCGCTGAGACAGTGGGCACTGCCGCCGAGAGTTCAGAGCCTTTAAACTCTGTGGATGGATTTTACCAAATGGCTGTCAGTTTCCGAAGAAGAACCCATGTGTCTTTTTCTGATTATCTCTGACTCAGCATTTTTAACTGAGTCAAAGATAATACAAATTACCCATCACATTAAAAGATTAAGGAATAGTATAATGTTCTTTTAATAAATATATTCATGTAAAATAGCCAAGTTTTCAATAATTCCTCGGTAAGTATTTTAAAGATTAGGGATAACTCGAATAATACTTTGTGAAATATTTGAGGAAAATATACAAATGGTATATATTTCCTTCCCTTAAAAGAAGGAAATTTCAGTGTTCAGCTTTAAAAGAAACAATCCTTCCTACTTTATGCATCTCTGATAATATGTGGGGAATAAACTTTAAAATACTGATTTCTGGTTATCAGTAAGAATTTACGGTGATGCCAGAATCCATCATAGATATACTCTTAAAACATTGACAATTGGACAATATTGAGGTTGTCCGTTATTGTTAGCAGGCGTCCTGTGTGTGTGTGTGTGTGTGTGTGTGTGTGTGTGTGTTTGTGTGGAAGCGAGTGATCTTGGGAGGTGAGGAGTCGGGCTCTGTGCAATTGGCAGTAAAGATTGCTGGTGCGAGCGGCTTCAGGGAGAGCACCTGTGAGGTCACCTTAATTCTTCTCTCCTGCCAGCATCTCTTGAGCAGAAAATTGCTTAAAACTTGGTGACATTTTCCTTGATGTATCAAGTGAAACATAAACATCTAGAAAGAGGGTTGTGCAAGAGTGGACTTTATAGTATTTAGTGGCTATTTTAGTTGGAGCCCAATGATAAATTCTATTTTCTGAGTCTTTGAGGAAAGAAAAAAAAAATGCCAGACTGGTTTCTTTGTGGTAATATCCTTCCTAAATTCTGGAGCTTTGTCACTCAGCTTTCATTTCATTTGTTCTTTTCACACACTTGATTCTGAACTGCAATCAGTGATCATCTTCATATGAGTAATAATAATTCATAGAAGATTTTTAAAATTATATTTAAAACCCAACTTGGTTTATGCTATTTTACCACAGTTATTGCTTCTAGAAACTTTTTATACGTTCTAAGAGAATGCTTTTATTATAATTCTAATATTCAAATACTCTATAAAGGTAGGTGTAAATTTTTTAACCGCGTGCTTTACTACTGTTTGCCTTTTGTGGCAGAGGTGTGTTTTATGTTTGGTTTGTGATTTCTGGAAAACGATATTTAAGACTAATGCAAGTTATCAGGCTTTTTCTTGGATCCATAATAGCAGACGGCAGCCGTGGCAGGCTTGACTCCTGAGTGGACAGGCTGCAGAACCTGGCCCGGCGGCACGGGTGGCTTTGGGGAGCGGGAACCGAGGGTCCCTCCACTTCGGAGGAACTGCCCGTGGCTAGCAGAAGGGCGGGTCTTTCCCAGGAGTCGGTGCCCTGGCCTCTTCTCCACGGGGCCCTTGCCCTGTGAGAATTCATAACGAGCCTCCATGTGTGTGGCTGTAATCTCACAATAGCGTCATTGATACTTGATCTCCATACAAGAGCTTTATGGATTCCACCAAGTCCCAGCTCTCCAGGCACCAGCCTCCCTCCCCGGACCCTCCCTGCCTGAGAGTGGCTTTGTGTCCTGTGTTGTACTGATTGTGCCTTCGGATGACAGCTTACTTGAGTGATGGGGGAGGCAGAGTAATTTATTAAAAGTCATTGCAGAGAAACCAAACAAAAGGAGCGATTATAGTGTTGTTAATATGCAGTTTGTTATTTTATCGAAATATTTGGAACTTGATCTTGTGAGTGATTCTCCGTTTTTTGTTTTTTTCTTTCCTTGTAAATCCCTAACAGATACATAATTTATTAAAC